TACCTAAAGATATCAGTGGCAGCTTCACTCCTATTTCCACACCCGCCCCTTCCGCCGCTGCAGCCGCAGATGATTCGATCATCAGTGTTAGTTCTGTATCTGTGTCCGAGTCGGCAGCGCGCCATCTGCCTCCTCTGGGGAGCCGGAGAGCTCTGTCGTTTGATGATGTCAGTGAGGCTGACTCACGGGGGGAGCTCGAGTTGGAGTGTTATGAGGGGGAGTTGGATATGGATCCGGTTGTGTCGGGGAATTTGCCAGCGAGTTGTTTGTGGGAGGTATTGAGGAGGCTGCCGCCGGTTGGGTTGCTGTCGGCGGCGATGGTCTGTAAGGGGTGGAGAGAAACCACGAAGAAGCTTTGGAGAGCGGCTGAGGAGCTCCGGCTTAGAGTTCCGGCGAAGGCACAGATTGGATTTTTTGGATCGATGTTGCAGAAATGTCCTGGACTCATAAAACTCTCTCTTACGATGGAAAGGTCAGGGATATGGAGCTGATGATCAGATCTAGGGTTTTATCAAATGGATCTGGTGATAATTCATTTATAAAATTAAAATCTATTTGTTGAAGAATAGGACTAATTGATAAAAGTTGAAAATATACAGTGCAGAGGCTGAGTGCATTCGCATATAAGGAATCTATGAAAAGTTCTCCAAAGAAAGTGCACTAATTGAAATTTTGACTTAGTGAATTAATGCTAAACTCAAATCTATGCCACTTATCTGAAAATTTGGGTTACGTAAAAGCCATCTTGTTGGAATTTCCAATAGGCACTAATATACGTTGATGATAAATATTGAGACATTGGTCAAATATTGACAGGTAAATTGGGAATTGATCTGACTGTAATTTTGCTTTTGGTGTTGCAGTGATGTGGATTCAACATTGCTGGCTTGCATTGCTTTCTCCTGTCCTAATTTGCATTATCTGGAGATCTTTACATCTGGTACCTCCGTCAATAGGATTACCGGGTAATAATTCAACTTTCAATGTTGTATTCTATTTCTGTTTTCTGTGCTTTTCCTATACAAGCTTATCTTATATGTTTCATTTTTCATAAATGGTCTCTTATAGACTCAAGAAATTCTGCTACTATTACCTACAGTCTCAGCATTTTCAACCTAGTTGTATGTGGAACATCTATCTCTAGTCACACTGTAAATAATTTAATTCACAATTTTTGGTCTTTTGATGACATATATGTCATGGTGGTCGCTGATCTAGTATATTTGTGGGTGACACCGTGACACTGACGATTTTTCAGAAGTAACATGTTCAGCATTGTTGGTATACATTATAGAAGTTTCTCTGTATGTTGCTCTCTTCTTTTGTATTTGTAGTTTTAGCTCTGATCCGATTTTTTAAAGGCAAATGTTGTTGTAAATGAGAATAATCCCTGGTACCATTTCCACTGGAAGGAGATGAGATAAAAGCTTTTGTTCCCATGCAGGGACGAATTAAGCCGTTTTATCTCTGAGAAAAGATGCCTGACCAGTCTTAAGATGGAAGGGTGCTGTAACCTTGGGGGTTTAATTTTTTCTTCAATCAGTCTGTCTACTCTCTGGCTCTCAGATCTTCACTCCCTCTCTAAGATGGTAATTCCTCAACAGATTCAATGTTCACTTTAATCACATGATCTGGTCTCAAACTGCTTTACACTGGCATGCATTAGGTTTTTAACTGCCCCAACTTGAAGGAGGTATCTTTGGATTTTTCTTGGCAAGAAAATGATAGCACCGATCTAACCACTATCGTGAATGGTTTGGGAATAAGCTGCCCAAAGCTACAGAACATCCACATTGCTTCAATGCAGCTTTCACATGCTGTAGTGCTTGCTCTTACAGCTTCGAATTTGAGGTTGGCACTGTTGTTTGCACCTCACATGCTCATTGTTTTCCAGAAGTCCTTGATTTTTTTGACTTGTTCAAACTTCATGAAATAGATGAGTCAATGATAAGAAGTTTGACAAATATATATCAATTCTTCAATCTTTAGGGGATTGCGAATGCTTTCTCTTGTACTTGGATCTGAGATCACTGATGCATCAGTTGCAGCTATTGCATCATGCTACTCAAAGCTGGAATTGCTTGATCTGAGTGGGTATGTTTCGGGCCTTTTTCTGGTATTTTTGATCTTAGGGGTACAGAAGTTTGCGGAAGTAATGGTTATTTTAACCAAGCCCTATTCCTGCAGGCAATGCTGAGTGCCTTGTAACAAATGATATTTCTGATTGCTTTAGGTGTAACCACTAGAATATGGAAATTTGATAGATATTTCTCTAATTGACTATTTAATTTGCTTCAGTTGAGAAGTAAGTGTATCCATGATGCTGTTTCATTATGTAGGTCTAGTATCAGTGACAGTGGCATTGGAATGATTTGCAATGTTTTTCCAGAAACATTATCGAAACTACTACTTGCTCTTTGCCCCAACATAACATCAAGTAATCTTCAAACTCTGTTCTGACACCATCACAGTTACTCAATTCAGTACATTTTTAACAAGTCAGAATTAATTTTATCTGTCATTGCGAATCTGTAGGCGGCATTCAATTTGCCACTGCTCAACTGCCTCGTCTGGAACTCATGGACTGTGGAATGACCATATGCGATCCTGATTTGGAGATCTATAATGAAGAGGACAATAATAGTGACTTGCAGAGAACTCCCAACAGCAAGTTGCACCTTATATACCAGAAGCTAATTATCAAACACAGCCGATTGAAGAAGCTAAGCTTATGGGGTTGTTCTGGCTTGGATGTAAGCCTCTCTTGTTTTAAGGATATTTTGTTTTTTTAGCCTCCTGCTCAAATACTATATGTTCTCTGAATGTGAAATTTTTTATCACAGGCATTATACCTAAATTGCCCACAACTTATTGATTTGAACCTCAACTCTTGTAGAAATTTACATCCAGGCATGTTCTTAAATCCCTCTTGAGAGGTGACTTTCCTAAAATATTGAAGCATTTTCCTTGAATTTGAGGTTAATGTTTTCCTTGCTTTAACCCCAGAGAGATCGCTACTCCAATGCCCCAATTTAGAAAGTGTGCATGCATCAGGCTGCCAAGACATGTTGGTCAAGACCATTCAGAATCAGGTAAAGAACCTAATCAATCTATCCTCTGTTGTGATTAGAGAATAAAATGCAATCAACTTTCAACTACATTATTAAGACAGGTATCTTTTATTTACGACACTTCACCTTCATTAGAAAGGATTATTCTATTAACGATCATCTTTACTGGTTAGGCGAGATAACACTACTTCTGGTGTTTTCACTTCATCAATCAATGCTAAATGATAAACATCTTTACAGATTTGATCCAAAATTTGATTTACTGGGGATTTATTAAATTTTTGAGGCAAATCTATTGTTTACACTTCAGTGCATGCTAAATGATAAACAGCTTCATAAAAGATTCATCCAAAGCCTGATTTAATGCATTTGACTAAATTTTGAGGTGAAATAGAAATGTGATTGGCATTCTGCCTGGCTTCTGGTGTTTTTCTCCACGAAATCTATTTAACAAAAACTAATTCGACCCTCGATATATTTTATGCAGGTCTCCTATAACTTTTCAGCTATGGAGGATCATTCTCCTGTCAAACGTCTACCTGATGGCTCCAAAAGAGTCAGCGTCCCATATTTATTCAGCCCTCAGGTGAAAATTCAACCTCATATAGAAATGTGAAATATATTAACTAACTCAACGTTTTTTCTGCACTTGCTCGGAAAATTTGCGTACTAAACTCGGTTCATTCAATCACATGCATTTACTTGCCGTGTAATCTCAGAGAACAAACTAAATATATACACATACCTAATGGACTTGATGTTATCTTTCAATCTCTTCGATTACTATGACATGTATTGAGGTTATGTGAATTCTTGTAAACCTCTGATATTTACTCTTCCATTTGCAGCCATGTGATGAGAAGGAACGGTCGAGGGCTAGGAAGCGCCACTGTGCCGTGATTTCCACATCATAAATTAAACGCCTTGACACTGTTGTTAGTCCAGAATTGGAGCACACACTAGTTTGTTGCTTCAACAGTTCAAATCGTCGGTTAATTCCTTGATTTTGCTTCTATCAACAAATAAGAAACATTTATTACAAATAATGAAGTTTTCAGACTACATTCATCCATCGACTTGTATCAGTAATTGACCTAACAAATTTCATTTACAATTGTCGGAAGTATGGTGATATTGGATTGGATGTACTATCTTCTAGTCTAGTATCCTGCAATAGTCTTGCCCAAAAATAATGTATAGAGTGACAAATCTAGGAGTCGATTTGACCATAGCCAGATAGCTAATCACTGGATGTCGAGAAGAGCACATGTTGATAGACAATTACAATGTAAGTCTGAGTCAATCTTGAGACCTATTTAAAAAACTTGTTCACAAGTGTTTTGCAATGTCAATAGACATTAATCGATCTAAAATTGATTTCTTGGTTTTTGCAGTCTAGTGGATAAGATGGTCCAAAATGTTGTGGTTGCGAAGGTTTTGCAGGCCTTCCCTAACCTATTTCTAAACCAAAATGAACAGAGTGGCACATTGTTATTCCTTCCAACCTTTACAAATCCATTCTCTCCATACCATATTAACAAATACAAAGAATCCCATAATGGTCAAACTAATCAACAATCGACAGGAATAGTAGAATACGCTTGAATACATATTAATTAATAATAGGCAAACGAAGTCTTACGTGCAAAGAGTTATTGTCTGTGTCCACACTAGCTACATTCATACATAAGACTAACTGATTCTCACATTTATTAATAGTAGCAGTTTATAAGTAATTGAACGAAAATGGTACAGACAGAATCCCGGATCTGCTCGATCCACCTTGTCCCTGTCTTTGCTTTGCCTTTTTCCAATCAATGCCACAAAGATCGAAAGAGCAGACCGAGATGGAATTCACAGATTTAGTTTCGGTTCTTGCATTTTTCCATGGCTCTAGGTGCTGAAATTCAAAACTATGAGTTGTTTATGGCCAATAAAATAGTGCTATAGTAAGTCGAATCATTAACACATTAATTATGCATCCAAATTGAGGTTGAGGTTGAGGATAGAGGTACACTGACCGAGTCCTATTGCCTCTGCTCCTTTCATAATGCGCAAGCGCTTGCATGATTCAACAAACATCCTGCACGATTTATATCGAATAAGAGTTGGAGAATGCTATTCATGACGAATAACATTGGACCATTGAATAAGTAGTTAGACGTGAAACTTAACTTACTTCCATGGGACATCACCAACAAGCATCCAATCACCATCCTTGTCTTCATAAGTAGGAAAATAATCAGAATCATTCAAATGATCAATCAGTTTGCTTCCATTCATGAAGTCCATCATTCCTATTCATCAATTCAGACATACAACATTGTTAATTCTATGAAGAAACAAATTAAATGATTCAGCCATTTTCCCCTTACCATATATATCATGTGAAGTATCTATGTGTACCTTAATCACTTAAATTTCAATCATGACACATGAACATAATGGTTGACATAATCATTGACATAATGCCACTGGCAATCTATCATTGGACTGTTTAAAATACAGTAAGCTTTTTCAACAAATCATATCTTGCCAACACCTATTTTGTCAACCATTATGTCACATTTTTCTGGCAAAGTAGCATTATTCCTTAAATTTTTAGATAACGTGGAGTATAATTATTGCCGTTGTGCGGAACCAGTACGTAGATCTATTTTGTCCTAATTTGTATTGTAAATAGAGAGCCATCCTTAGGGCTTTGCATTACCATCATAAAAGAGAGAAAGACGGGTTAGAGAAGATAAGGTATTAGGTGTGTGATTTTCTGCCGTGAACTTCTTTTCATCATACTAAATTGCTTGAACGACAAAAGAAGTTGCAGTTTCACATTAAGATAAACCTTTATAAATCTTGCGTATTCTTATGTCTATGATAGAATTAAAGTTTCTAATTCTCAATAAACTCGTAAATCTCGAGAAAGTCTCGAGACTATTTGTAATGTTTTTATAGAGTTTTTAATATAAAGGGTTGGATACTTTATTTCTATGACCCTTCCTGTAATAGTTTCTAGTTTTCATCTAGCTCGTTTATAAGTGTTACTGATCATCCTGAAGTTCTCGTTGTTACCTACATAAACATGAAACTAGTGTTGAGGAGAGAAATATGAATAAGCAATTTAAACTTTTAAGTAAAATGGTTCAAGTCACTTACCAATTGTGAAGGAACTGAACATCTTGCCCAAGGCATCAAAAAGCTCTTGGTAACTTGTGTAAATCTTCAAATCCACTTTGCGAAGATAAGGTGCACCATCCATGCTAACCTTCACAAAGGTGGCGACACCAATCTCCGCCTTGTCGGTTGTCTCCTCGGAGTCGCTCTTTTGAACCGCCATAATATTTTTCCGGAAGGACCTAACCGGCGGCCACCCCACAACCTGTGCCCTAAACACCCATAATGTTTTTCTTAATCAAAACAAAACCAAATACTCGCCTTGACCGTATTAAACAACGTTAATAAAGAAAAAGACGCAGTTTAGATCTCGTCCGTGTTATTCATATAATTCAATACTGCATACCAAACATGAGTTGATGTTATCGAAAAAAGAGAAGAGAAAGTTTACTTGGCAGGAGTCTTCGTCTCCTTATACAAATTCTTTTCTTTCTGATATTCAGTTTGATCTATCCCAGAAATATTTAGCTTCAAATCCACAGTTTCTGTATACCCTCTTTTTCCATTAGAATTCATGACGAGATTTTTGCCCATAATAATTTCTTCTTCAGTTCCAGGTAACCCTAGCCTCAGTTCAGTCTCTTTCAAATCCAACTTTTCCTTATTCATCATTTTCATTACTCCAACTTCCATGACCTGATCTTCTTCTAGGGTTTTAATTCTTCTACTCGATCAATTGTTGAGTTTCTTGGGTGTAAGAAAAGTGAAGAGATTAATGGTGTTTTTAGAGAGAGAGAGCGAGAGAGTGTGTGTTACTGTTACTGCAATAATGGTGAGAACAAGGGAAATTGAACGGGGTATAATGTTCAAATAGGCTGCAATTTGTCTAGAGAGAAGTTTATGTACTGTAAAAGCTGACACGTGGACCAATGAATGAATTGGATATTGAGTGTTGCTGGAACGGGTATTGACATGGGTGACAGTAGCCTACTTCCAATGATTCATGCTTGGAATTTTGGTACAATCATGGTACATGTACATTATTTTTAAAATTATTTTTTACATTGTGTTATATGATAATATATTATTGGACAATTTAAATTTTTGACAATTTTTCGATCCAATCAACACTTGTCAACACTCACAATGTCACTCATCATGTTAAGAAACAACGTACAAGTGACATTTCCCAGTTCAATTATGCTATTTGTACATAATGTTATGTCCATAACGGTGTCCACCCTCTCACATGGAAGATGACCCATTTTGGATATATTATATTTTATTCGAATTGAGTCTCCCTCCATGTGAGGGGGTGGACACCGTTATGGACACATCATTATGTACGTATAGCATCACTCTTCCCATTTTGGTATCCTCTTCAATTCACTCTTTTCGAGTAAACTTTGTCATCGTTATTTCTATTTATTTATAATTTAAGTTATTTATAAATACTTTTCAAAGATGTGAGACAAAGTCGGGGGACAAAAAAAATTATATTGAATTGATACATTAAAAAAATTCATAAAATATGTTTTTCTACTTTGTAATGATCAATGGTTGGAAATTAAATTCAGCATATAATTTTGACTTTGAGAAAAAAAAAAAAAAGTTGTCTGCTGCTGATTCCAAAGCTTCCCCTTTTTTTCTTGAACCCTACCTACTGGCTTTTTTGGCTTCTTTTTCTTAAAAGATAAGGGGCCGTTCTCTTTATATTTCAATTTTGTGTTTTGAATTTATTTTGAGTGTCTATTTTGAGATTTTTGAAAACGTGTTGTTTTTGACATTTTGAAAAATGGTTTTCAAAAATTNGATTTTTGCCCATAATAATTTCTTCATCAGTTCCAGGTAACCCTAGCCTCAGTTCAGTCTCTTTCAAATCCAACTTTTCCTTATTCACCATTTTCATTACTCCAACTTCCATGGCCTGATCTTCTTCTAGGGTTTTAATTCTAATTCTACTTGATCAATTGTTGAGTTTCTTGGGTGTAAGAAAAGTGAAGAGATTAATGGTGTTTTTAGAGAGAGAGAGCGAGAGAGTGTGTGTTACTGTTACTACAATAATGGAGAGAACAAGGGAAATTGAACGGGGTATAATGTTCAAATAGGCTGCAATTTGTCTAGAGAGAGAGTTTATGTACTGCAAAAGCTGACACGTGGACCAATGAATGAATTGGATATTGAGTCTTGCTGGAACGGGTATTGACATGGGTGACAGTAGCCTACTTCCAATGATTCATGCTTGGAATTTTGGTACATGTACATTATTTTTAAAAGGATAATGATAGATGTATATCAAAGTATACATAAAGGTGTTCATTATGGACACCCGGCACCTTCCTATTGGAGGGAGTGACTGTGGGACCGGCACTCCCTCCACTGAAATGATGTCGGGTGTCCATTATGTACACCCTTATGTACTTTTTGATGTACAAGAAGCATAATCCTTTTTAAAATCATTTTTTACTTTGTGTTATATGATAATACACTATTAGACAATTTAAATTTTTGACAATTTTTCGATCCAATCAACACTTCTCAACACTCACAATGTCAATCATCATGTTAAGAAACAACGTACAAGTGACATTTCCCATTTCAATTATGCTATTGGTACATAATGTCGTGTCCGTAACGGTATCCACCCTCTCACATGGAAGATGACCCACTTTGGATATATTATATTTTAATCGAATTGAGCCTCCCTCTATGTGAGGGGGGTGGACACCGTTATGGACACCTCATTATGTACGTATAGTATCACTCTTCCCATTTTGGTATCCTCTTCAATTCACTCTTCTCGAGTAAACTTTGTCATCGTTATTTCTATTTATTTATAATTTAGGTTATTTATAAATACTTTTCAGCATATAATTTTGACTTTGAGAAAAAAAAAAAAAA